GGCGCAGCCATCCGCCCGCAGGATGGACGGCGGGTCCGGGGGCTTGGGCTCCGGGGACAACGCCCCGACCACCGAGGCCCTTTTCGTGGCTCTGGGCGCGGGCGTGACGGCGCTCAGCCACCCGCTGCTCTACGTGAAACTGCTCATCCAGGTGGGGGGCCTGGGGCGCCGTAGGGAGGTGGGGGCTCATGTGAAGGTGACAGGCCTCGATCTGGTCAGATTGGGACGGGGGAGTCGATGGCGACGGATTTGGGGAGAGGTGCGGGCACCGAGGGTTTGTGGGCCGAAGGAATGGGAGAGGAGGAAAGCGGGAAAGGGTTTGGGGATGCAGAGCGCACGGGTTTGGGGGTGCAGGAGAGGGGGCGAAGGAGTCGGAGCGACAGATTTGGGAGAGGGTGGAAGGAACAAGGGATTTTGGGGGGTGCAAGGAGAGGGCGATGGGATAGAGAGACGGGTTTCGGGGATTAGGGAATGGAGGCAATGAACTTGGAATAAGAGGGAAAGGGCATCATTTTGGGGTGAGTTAAAAAGCAACAAATTGGGGGAGGGGAGAGGAGTTTCAGCTAACGGATGGGCAAGAGGATTGGGGGCCCAGACAAATTATTTAGAAGATGAGCACATATTTAGGCTAGAAGGGAGCAAGAGCAAGAGCTCTGGATTTGGTGGGGATGGATTTAAAGCGGTTTGGAAAGACAAAGGACAGGGGGCCAGGGCCAAAAATTCAGGAGAGGAGCAAGGGCACCAGACTCCAGGAAGGAGGGGACGGGGCAATAGAATTAATGGTGGCAGAATTTGGTGGGAGAGGGTGAAGGCAGAGGATTTAGCTGGGGAGAGCTTTCGGTTAGCAGGAGATGGGGGGCTCTGGATCTGATGGTGACGACAGGTTTGGTGGGAGGAGGGGATGGGGTGACGCAGTGGGGGAGGGGAGTAGTGGCGTTTTGTCTGGAGAGGGGAGCGAGGGGGAGGCTTTTAGGGGAGAGGGATGACGCATTTGGAGGAGAAAATGGAAGCCACGGTTGGGGTTGGGAAATGGGACCCACAGTCCTTGTACCTGGGGGAATGGGCTGTAGGGGTCTGGAAGTACTGAAATTAGGCGGAGGGGGGGTAGTTGAGCCATAAGAGGACAGGATAGAGAAGGGCTGGCAGAAACTGAGGCCAAGGTAGGGATGTCTGGAACAGTGCCATGCAGGTGCACTGAGTACATTGGTGGTGGCCAGCAGTGCCTTACGGATGAAGCAGGCTGCTTGAGAAAGGGGGAGATTGAGTTGGAAGGAGGCAGGGTGGAAGGATGCATTTGGCAGAATTAGGTGGGGGTGATGCAGATGGGCATTGTTTAGATGGGCGTAGTTCAGGCCTGAAGATTTAGCCTAAAATTTTCCAGTTAAGAAGATTGGGCAGTGGGGAGTAAAAATTGAAATGGAGACCCAAGCAAGATTTGAGGTTTGGTTTGAGTTGAGGCAAATGGGTGTCCCGATGTATTGTCTTTATAATTGTACTGACAGTGGGAGATACAACTGGAATAAGAGGGACTCGAATGGGAGTATTTGAAATCCGAGGAATGGGGCAGTAGATTTAGGGGTGTGACCAGAAGGTGACAAGGAATGAAGAGACTCGGTCAGGAACACCAGGGTGCCGGACTGGAATCTAACAGTGATTGAGATTTAGAATTGGCTGATGGGGGAAGTTCCAAACTCATGTTTGGTTGTGACTTGGGACTGAGGGCTGCTTCACTTACAGAATTAGGGTTGTATTTACAGTGCTAGAGATTACAGTTTTGGGAGAGAAATTGGCACCCGAGATATGCGAAGTAAGGATGCTGGGAGCTGAGTGTTTTGGCTGACGGAGAGAGGTTAGGTGAAGGCTGGGGTTTTAGGGTGGCAGATATAAGGGTCTGCCAAGTGGCAGATACTGGAGTATGGGAATGGGGTGCTCCATGTGAAGGAAGTGGGAAGTGGCCATCATTTGGATCATCATAGATTTAGTTTACAGGTTTGAGAAGAAAATTGAAATAGGGTGATTTGAAGAGAGAATTGGGAATGAGGGGAGAATGGGGAATGGGGCTAAAGGAAGACAAAAGGGCGAGAAGAACTGGATGTGGGGAGGTAAGGGTGGGTGAGCCCAGTTGGGGTGACAGGTGGCCTGTCCGATTTGAACTCTGCTGGTGCTCTGAGTGTAACATTTTAGGGTGAAGTTTTAATGGGTATAGTTTGGGAATCAGTAACATTTTACAAAAAGGCAAATACCAGTTCTTTGGGGGTAGCAGGGATTGGAGTGGCAGATTTGGGGTAAATAATGCAGTGCCTCAGATCAGGCTCGTGGGTGTTAGGTTTCAGGATTTGGAAATTTAAGGGTGATCGACTGGCTCTGCCAGAATCTGATACAGAGCCACAGCTTTGGACTGGGTTCATAGATTTGGGGATGAATTTGGGTAGGTATGACTTGGGCACAAATAATGAAAACTTAAGGACAAGGAGAATAGGGGTGAAATATGGCCAGTGTGCCTTTGATAACCTGGGTAGAAGTTAAAAATATAGATTCAGTAGTTTTGGGAGCTATGGGACATGAGGTGAAGGGACACAGCAGATTTAGGCGTGAAGTTAGAATCAATCAGGACTCCCAAATTGTCGTGACTAGACTGGATAAGACAGCAAAAGAGCAGTAGTTCAGACTCATAGTAGAGGGTATGAAGGGAATGTTGCTTGTGTAAGAGAAAAAAATCAAAACAAAACTCAGAAACTTGGAGTTTTCAACCCAGAAGGGGAAAGGTCTGGAAGGGAGGGCTAACTGCTTAGGTCAGCTGGCTCATCCCTCTTCTCCAACTCCTCTGGGATAGACTTTTAAAGAAGGTCCTCATCCAGAGGGGCTTTCTTATTTTACAATCAGTAATCTGTCATGTAGCTCAGATTCACTTCCACAGGGCACAGCATGAACTTTCAAAAACCCTAAGGCAAGGAAGAAAGGGAATTGAGCCAAGAAAGCACTAGAAACAGACCTAGTCCAGTTTTAAGGTAGAGTTCCCCAACCCTGTCGTTTATGCTTTCCACATCCAAGAGCTGCTGCTCTGGTTCATGGACTCAGCTGGCCTCCTTTGAGGGACAGGGATGCTGTCCCCTGTCAGGGAAGGAGACTTCTCACGCCCCATTTAGGTGCCAGTCTCTGGACACTTTGCCTCCTGCCTGGCAGCAGAGAGATTGTCATTCATTGGCAGCAGAACAAACAGTCTCACCCCTCAGAGAGACCCCACCTCCTCATGGGGTATAGGTGGCTTGGTCTTTCACCCACCCATTAGTTTAACATATATAACCAGCATCTATGCAGCAAAAGTGACCATAGCCCCACAGAAATGTGGGACATTCTGTCACAAGGGTCATTGAGATTAGAACACAGTTGAGGAATTGTTTGAGGAGCAGCTGGGATTTGAGGTAACAGTCTGCTCTGCCTGAGAGCGAGAGGGACAGATTTGTTGACATCTTCCACGGGTGTAGTAAGAAATTCGGGTTGTGGGTGAACTTTGGAATGGGTCACTTGGAGCTGAGCTGTCTGAATTTTGGGACGGATTTGGATGTGCTGTGTTTTGGTGTTACCACATTTAGGATTGAGACTGGACTGAAGTTTTTAACCTGGAGATGAGAATAAACAGATTTATTCTGAGATGAGCATGGGGTTCGAAGTGTATAAAATAGAGGGGTTAGTCCTGGCGATATCTGGAATTTGAAGGTAACAGTGTTGGGGACTGGAGGTGACTTGGATTGTGGTAGGAGGTATCTGGGACTAGACATTTCTGTTCATTGGGAGATTCCATGATGCTGATGGTTGTAGACACTGGTGACATTTCTTGTATGTTTTGATCAGGAAAACATCAACAGGAACAGCATTAGACTTTGTGGAAAAAGAGTTAGAGGCTTGGAAAGATGCAAAGCAGTGAGACTGCATCAGCAGTGGAATCTGACCTTCCTTTTGTGTTTGTTGATTCTGAAGGTGGGTCATGAGCCGATGCCCCCCACCATTGGGACCAATGTGCTGGGGAGGAAGGTCCTCTATCTGCCGAGCTTCTTCACCTACGGTGAGTGTGCTTCCAAGGCAGGAAAGCCCACACCGACAGAGGAACCAGAAAGTGGGGAGCAGGGCACCCAGAGTCAGAGGTGGTGTGGAGGACGGGATCCAGCAGTGTGGCCAGAGGCAGCAGGGTGTTGGGGTGGAAGCAGGTAAACAGTCCAGCTTCTCTATCTGGCAGTGAGCCAGGCAGGGGAAGGGCAGACAGGTGCTCAAGGGAAGAGCCAGTCAGGACACTGGTCCCTGTCTGCCCTGCCCCCAGGTTGTGCCTGGAGTGGGGGCGGGGGTCCTTTCTGCCTCCTGGGCAGGCCTGCCCTGGTACTGGCTTTCCTGCTACTCTAGCAAGAGGCCTGTTGGGGGCCTCCTGAGTTCTTTTTCTTTCTTTTTCTTTCCCTTGCATGGTGCCAACTTGTTCTGGCATCACCACCCCCTGGGTATAGACCAGTTTGTGGTGAGTGGTGGCTTTACCTCTGGGGTGCCTGCCCAGCTGTGTGAGCTCTGGCAGGCAGCCTCACTGCCCTGGCCCCACATCCTCTGCAGAGTAGCTTCGGCGCCTCTGTGCCTGGCCCTTCATACACCCCTCCCCCGCCAAGCAGCTCTGCCTGTCCCGAGGTCTCTCCACCAAGAAGCCCAACACCGTGGAGCTTGTCCGATCCAGTGAAGCCCACCTGGCTGCTTCTGCTGCTCATCCCCTGGCTGTGGGCACCAGCTGCCCAAGACCTTTTGAAGTTCCCCATGGCTATCCCTCTCCAAGTCCCCACTCTCACAGGGTGACCATGGTAGGGACTTTCTTTAATGCGCCCTTGTTGTCGGTGTTCACAGCCAGCCTGATCCCTCATGCTTCCTCCACCTCTGCTCTTATCTGGTCACTGCAGAATGTTCTCTGAAAACCTTTCTTTCTACTGAATAACTTGGGGCTTCGCCTCCTGTCCCCTTTCTTTCATTTCACACACTGTTGGCAGAACCTGAGGTCATGTTTCTTTTTCAACCTTGCCACCTGGGTGTTGGGCAGTCTGGGGCCAGATAGAACATGTCATTTTGTGGGGAAATGTGTTCATATTTGTTTTTCCTGAAAGATTGTTAGTGTGGGGGAGGGGGATCAGAATTAGGAAGGCGCCCCCACCGAAGTACAGTGAGGTGGTGGACACAGAAAACACTGGATTTGGGCTGCCAGCCCCTCTGAGGGGGCTCTCTGTTTATGGCTAGGCGCGCTCCAGCCATGCGAGGGACTCAGGGTAGGGCCCAGACCGGCTCTGGTTACGTCATCATCATTCCGAAAAGGGCTCAGGTAGAGGGGTCTTGACTCACTTTACTGCCTCTTGCAAAGATGAGCAGAGTTCTGAGGTGCTCCCCCCGCCCCGGATCACATAAATGGTGCTTTAGTCCAGGTGGTGTAGCAGATGCCTGTCCAGTGTTTCCAGACACCATACCACGCTCCCATGAGGAGAGGGCTCTGCTGTCTGGATGCCTAGAGCCTGTGCGGACAGCACCTACTCCTCCCGTCTCCCAGCAAAGGTGTAACGCAAGAACTCCCTGGCGTTTTCCAGGGACTGCAGGACGCCTGGGACAGGGAAGCCCCTGGCTGGCCATGGGGCCCCTTGCGCCCAGAATGGCCTGTCTACGTTTCTCTGCTCTCACTTGTCCATACTTTGTCTCTGAAGTGGGAGAAGTAAGGGTCCTTAACTACTTTTTCACTGGTAGGTAAGTTGGATAGAAAGAGGTTAAGTGTCTCCCTGGAGATCACACTGGCTTTACCCTGCCCCCCCCTTCCCTACTGGCGCTCCCCTCCCCCAAAACCAACCTTCCTTCTGCTGCTCACTCTGAAGCAGGGCGCCTGTGTCCTCTCGCCTCCCACTCCTCTCTCCCCAGCCCCACCCATCTCAGGAAGCCAAGTTTGCAGGTAACAGGTGCTAGGCCCAGTGAAAGCCCGGTGGCAGTGGCAGTGGCAGTGGCAATGGCAATGGACTGCTGGGTTGGCAGACATGTTGCAGAGAAACGCCTCACGTGCTGGTTCCTGCCACTGTGTGGCGCCAGAGAGCTGAAGTCGTGGGTTTGAGGGGAGCTAGTTGTCAGAGAATGTTCTGCCAGCTTCCAAGTATGCAGCTTTGTAAAAATGCATTGTCTCTTTGAACAGAGTTTGAAAGTTGATATTAAATAAGAAAACATTTAAAAAAGCGATCCTTTCAGAGACCCTAATGAAAAAGCACTGACAAGTACACTCCAGCTTCCCTGGCTGCTTATGTGTTTTTCTGTAAAATAGCTTATTGGTGCCTCTGTTTTGGTTACTTCTCCATTTGCATTTCCTCCCCAAATCTTCATAATAAATGCCAGCAGGTGCCAGGTGGGGTCCAGGATGAAGCACAGTGATGGTGGGGACGCCCTCTCCGTGGCGTGCTTAGGGACACTCTTGAGCCTCTCTTCTGGAAGCCCACCCTTTTTCTTTTTTCCTCGCTTAGGCTGGGACTTTATTATCCCCTGTGGGCACTCTACCCTCTTCCTTTCTTTCTTTCCCAAGAAAAACATTTTTTCTGAGCAATAGAACTGGCTTCTGGGTTGCAGCACTAAAGTTGCTGGGTTGAAAAACTACAGCTGAGCTTGCCAGGTAGATTTGTCAGAGCTTAAAAAGGAAATTTGGACTTGTTTGTCAAAAATATGTCTTAAAGGCTTTTACACAAAGGAACAGGCTAGAGAAAAAATTGGGGGTGGGGCCTGATCACTTGTGGGGTCCTGGATGGATCTCCCCTCTGTGACAGAAGGCAGCATGTACCGAGGGACAGTGTCTGGTCAGGGTGTGCATGTGACTCGGGAGTGGGTGTCCAGGCTGGGCATGACGTGGCCACCTCTGCTTCCTTATAGCCAAGTACATTGTGCAAGTGGATGGAAAAATTGGGCTATTCCGAGGCCTGAGCCCCCGACTGATGTCCAACGCCCTCTCCACCGTGACCCGGGGCAGCATGAAGAAGGTGAGCCCTGGCAAAGTCCGCAGCAGTCGCCCCAGGTTCTCCTGAGCTCCCTGCCGCCCCAGGGGCAGCCATGTGCACTAGCCCAGCTGTCCCAGACTGGTCAGGCCTCCACCCAGCACCATAGCCAGGCTCCAAACTCTGGTGGCCCAATGCTGAGACTCGTTGATTGGGAGGGTTCCTGCCCCACAGACCTCTCGCTTTCCCACTGCTGTGACAATGGGCAGGGCCTGTTTCCCCCAAGCTCCAGTCCTGGGGGTTACCTGAGGCCTGCCCAGCTAATGGTCACTGCAGAGAAAGCTGTAGGAGCTGCTTCCTGCCATCTGTGCCCCACAAGTTACATTCCAGAGGCATAGCTACACTTTGCCTTTGGCTCCCCTGTGTTCTGTATGCCAGGTTTTCCCTCCGGATGAGATCGAGCAGGTTTCCAGCAAGGACGACATGAAGACTTCCCTGCGGAAAGTGGTGAAGGAGGTGGGTGCTGGAATTGGAGAGGCCCTCGGAGGGGAGTTAGCTTCTTTCTCACTGCCGACTTGGGGCGTCATTGAAGAGTCTCAGAGTTGTGTCCTCGTGCTTGCATGGGAGGGGGATGTGAAGCCCCAGCGTGGACACTGCAGGGAATCCCAGAAAGCCTTTAGCCGCCTTGGGGCCTGGCCTGGGACCCTGCAGCACTCCTGGGTGGAGGGAATTGGGGGTGGGCAACAAGTGGGGCCATCTGCGGTAGACGGACCCCACATGGGTGCTGTGGGATCTCAGGCTGCCTCCCATATGAGCTCTTAGCTCCCCAGGAGTGCCAGTTCCAGAGACAGGCCAGACCGAGTGCCCCCTCTGCTCTCTTGCAGACCTCCTACGAGATGATGATGCAGTGCGTGTCCCGCATGCTGGCCCACCCCCTGCATGGTGAGCTGCCCCACTGGAGCCTGCAGCCCAGCCGTGGGATGGCCCCCATGGACTGTAGCTGGGCAGCAGTAGATTTACTGGGAAGTGGCACTAGGGTAGGGCTATTGCATTGCAACCCCACTGGGGAGAGATTGGTCAGGTGTCATGTCCAAAGGGAGCTGGGACTCTTCCCAGGTAGAAGAAATGGATGCCCTGGTCATGGAGAGTGATGGGGAAGCCCAGAGGCCCTCCTCCTGTCCTGCTCTGACGTGAGCCATGCTATGCAGTGGCCACCAGAGCGGGCACCCCACAGTGGCTGGCATGGGCTCTGGGTGTGTGTGCATCATGTCACCTGTGTGTGTTTTCTCTTTCCTCAGTCATCTCGATGCGCTGCATGGTTCAATTTGTGGGACGGGAGGCCAAGTACAGGTGTGTAATTTTTCTTGGGACTGATAGGCGTGGCCTTGTCACTGTTCAGAATCTGTAAGGACAGGCCTGCTGGGTCAGTCACTGCCCCTTTTCTGCCTTAGTTCTAATGTGTTGGCTTCAGAGGAATGTGGTAGTGGCTTCCATAGTCTGTCCCAGGGCATTTTCTCTGTATCTCTTGCCCGGGCTGCCCTGAATGGGCCTGGGTGCCCTGCAGAGAGGGTGAGTGGGAGTAGAGCTGGCTTGGATTAGGAGTCCTGGCACCAGAGCTGATTCTGCCACTTAGGACTGAGCCAGGGTTCCCTCCTGGGCCTCCTAGGTTATGCCCTAACAATTTCTCTGGCTGTCATAGCGCCTGGCTTCCAACTCGTTTCCTCCTCTGTCCACTTCAGCTGGTTACCAAATGCTTACCTAGCATCCGAGTGCTCGAACTGCGCAGGGGGGCTGGGGTGAATAGGTGTGTTGACATAGCCCTTCCCTGCGGCAGTTACACCCTCCCTGCTTCTGAGGCTCAGTCCAGGCAGGACGCGGATCCTGGCGGCCTGTGACAGGAGGACACGCCTCTGTTACCCTTCCTCTCTCATTCTCGATTCCTAGGTTCAGTTTTCTGCAGCTGCCCTGTGGAGCCATTGCCCCAGGAAGCTCAGCTGCTGTACGTCCTCATTTTAGGTTAACTAATGGGAAATTGGCCCATTCCCCCAGACTGGACCAGGAGTGGCTGAGCCACTGTTCTGAGAAGAAAGGTAGTGGGACCTGGTAGGGCCCAGTGCCCTGGGACCAGCACCAGCCATGGCTTTGGCTCCCACAGTCTTTTTCTCTCCTAGGCCACTGCTCATCTAGACTTTGCAGAGCCTCATGTAGGACAGGCCACGTGGCATTGCTAGCCACAGGCCACAGGGGTTGCTCTTGAACCTTCTTTGCATTTCACATGTAGAAGCTCATCCTCTGGTCTGCTACAGGCTCCTTGCTGGGGTGGGCCAGATACCTTTTCCCAGGCTGCATCTGGGCATTCTGACTCCAGGGCCTCCTGCCCCAGGGCCCTGTGTTCCTCTGCCCCCTGAGAAGGTGATTCTCTCCACTTGCCCCTCTACCTGCTCTCACTCAGCCAGTCATGTGGGCTTCTCTGCCGAAAGGTTCTTCAGCCAGAGATAAACTGCAGGGCCAGGCAGGAGAAGTGCCCGGCATGGTGCAGCAGCCCAGGCTGGAAGGTTTCGTTCTAAATTCTAGACCCACAGAGAACAGTGGTTGCTAACTGCCAGGGTTCTGCCCCGGTGCTGTAGGGCTTCTCCAGTCTCTGAACTGAGTAAGGGTCCCTTCTCCCCAAATAAGAGCTCTAATCTCGGCTGTGTTCTGCCTGGTAACGGGATCTTCCCTGCCCGTCCTGGCCAGGACTTGATGGCTCTGATCAGC